TGTGCCTGGAGGAAAGCTTGATTAATTTGAGTCAGTTAGCTAGCAAATTATGTAGCTCAGCCAACTTCCCCAATGGCTTAAACTGCTGGCTAGTTGGCATCTGCCTCTAACGGTCATTGGTTTGCTCCCCAGTAGGAGACCGAGGGAATGCGCACCACTGACGGGCTCCGATAGCGCGAAACGCGTCCGCTGCTTTTCCGGATTACGCTCTGCTATGTAGCTTGTGGACTACTGGGTTGAAAGCCTTATCATAATTTGAGTCACCCTTGCTCTCAACCTGATAGGGATTAGGGCAATCATAAGGTTAAGCAATGAAAAAATTGCGAAAATTCATCGGACAGCAGTGTCGTACTGTAACAGTCCTTTTCGCCTTCTTGTCCCCCTTAGTTAAACGCACCAAAATGATGTTCAGTGAGACAGACTGGAAAAGTGCCGTCAGCGCGAAAATTCGAACTCGATCGTAAACAGAAATGCTTCCGGTCTTTCTTTACACTGCATCTCAACTAGGGAGGAGACGTCTGTGGTGCAAATCCATTAAGGTTTTGAGCAGGCGGCTTTACTTGGTTTATTCTGCTGACTGGCAGTATGGTCAGCCTTATTCCGTAATAGTTAAAGCAGATGAAACTGTACTACCATGGATTGACCCACGGGTCTTTAGCATCCTTGATGACATACGTCACACCTGATATCGTCTGTTGTACGATGATGTTCCTTAGCTGGTACTGCCGCCGTTGGTACCCGACGCAAATGTAGCAGGTCCCCCACATTTAGAGGAACACCAACGACTTTCTCAGCATAGCAATCTTTCTGCGCTCAGAAACGTTGGCTATATGAACATGCACATACTAGTGTGTTTGTAAAAGTGAACTGAGCACACTGTCAACGACCGGTGCGACCGGTGGGAGACAGGTAGTCGAACAACTGAAGCTAATCGAACTTCTATTTTGGTCCAACTAAAAATAGTATTTGTCTGGCAGAGGTGTGAGTCACGCTTCGATGAGACAGCAATTAGCTGGGTAAAATAGTGTCACGTTCACAGATACCCTGATCCGAAAAGACTTTTGGTAGCGACTTAAGCTACTAGTTGACGAAATCAACCTGGCCGTTGCTTTCCGGATGGTGCGGCGTTTCTCTCATCTTGTTTCTGCCGAGCATCAGAAAAAGTTCGCGTACCAAAAAACACTCAAGATATGTTCCACATATTTAGCAGGAGTTAGCAGCGGGTTTTGCTGATGTTGCCATCAAATTTATTGACCTATTGCTGCTTTAATTTTGTCACTTCAGTATATCCCAGCTACTGTAAGACACCATTCTTTTCATTCCATCTTAGGATTTCTGAGACTAAACGACTCCATTCACATAATTGGTGGAATCCATGTCCAAAATAAACTCTCCAAAGTGTGCTGTTAGGTCAAGAAAGCTAACACAGGGGAGGTGAAGAACGCGTCCCGCAGTCTATCGACAAATGCTTGACAATCCACAGTTCTCTCGAAAACCCAACCATTCTGCAACGAAGCATATATCTACGCTGCTAACTCCAAAGAATCTCTAATGCTTTTGGCATGAGGTTTATCCTAAAACTGCTTAGCTCTCCAAAGTTATTAGGGGTGTACTAACTTGTTACCTTCTCCGTTTTACCAGGATCCGTCCGAATACCCGTCCCTGAAACAATGTGTCCGATATAGATCACCTCTTCCAGTAGTATGTGCCACTTTGCGGGCTGTAAGTTGAGGCCAAGTTTGATTAGGCCTGCTAGCAGCTCCATCAGATCGTTTCGGCTTTCATTCTTTGTCTTTGAGGTAAAAAAGATTATACAAATATACGGGACACTTGTGGGAAATCGGTTGGTGCAACAGTATTTTCCCGAAATGTTGATACGTTAAAGGGTGCGCTCAACAGCCCCAAAGGAATGGTCTGCATTTGCAACAAACTGATCGTACTACAAAAGCCGCTTTATCCGATCATCGGGCTCAAGCTCCAGTTACCAATAAGCAGAACTTAGATCCAGTATACTGAAATACGTCGATCATATAAGTGCGTCAGATTAGTCAATAGTCCTGGGAAGTAAAACACTTCTCTTCTAGTGACCTTAGTTTAGCTTCCTTCGTCAAAGTATATTCGGAAGTCACTATTGTTTTCTTCGCTAGAACGACCGGTACTGCCTTTGTGGATATGAACGAGCAATTTCTCTTCATTACGCCAGGGCAATGCGCATGAGGGATTTCGCAACACGTCTTTGAGATTTCCCAGTGTTCGATCTTTGGTGGGTTGATTGAGCCAATGAACCAATGCGTTTACACGTGTTTCGTGTCGGAGGTGTCTTCATAAATTGTACATGCTCACGAATTAGCACTTCCACAAGGTTTGGAAAGGAAGACTGCTACAACCTCATTGACAGAGGACAACACAAGCCGAAGTAGTCTGACTTCACCATAGCGCTTTGAATTCAAGTGGCAGGTGATCTTCGTCAGGTTAGTGGCCGGAGTCGGAATACTGACCAGTTGGCCAATGGTGCTCCATTTGGTGAGGTAATGCATCTACCTTCCTTTCGATGAATTCGATGTTGCCTCTGACACGTTGGCACATATTGTGGATAAGACATCCTACTGTTCCTTAATGTATTTCAAAGGAGCTTGGATAGTTTTTGGGAGACCAAGCGAAATGCTACTCACCAGTGCAGTATTGTCTCTCACATTAGTCTTGGGTGTGGTAGTAGAAACCGCAGCTGCTGATTTTGGAGTGCTCTTGGATGCAACTGCGGCCCAGCTGCCACTGACATTAGATTTTCTCTTTCATTTTTTATGAAATGGGAGAGTTTGAGACGGACTAGTCCCGGTTGGGCGGTGTGTGTTTAAGTCAGAGAATAGCAAGGTGCGCGTTTCATCAGAAGTATCGCTTCCACCGTTAAGTGGTTAGATATTATCGGCGTTTGAAGATACTGAGAGCGAGTAGCTACATGAGTGGTGCGTGATGGAATAGCTATTGTAGGAGGCGGAGGAGGAGAAGGAGCGAAAGTCATCAGTAGAGCGAAGGATTGAGATCAACTTCGGCTCAGTGGTTCGTCAGCCGGTGATATACTACCAGGTTACCTAGGCCGAAGCAGTCGGATATCTAAGTGGACTGCCACCACTAGCATTTGGCTAAGCTCACAAGTAGGCAGAAATAGGTTAGTGACTAGCACCCGTTGGGAACCGGTGACTGGATAGTGGGTAATGACTACTGTATTCTGGGAGCAAGTAGAAATTTGTACGTGTATAACTCCACCGAAATATGCTCGAAAACGTTTAAACAGGCAAACCACCAAGGACTTGTCAACACCCTTGTCGCTCTCTACCTTCTCACGTGATGTCGTACAAAACCTGTAACTCACAGCAAATTGGGATCCAAAATACGGGATGTCCCTGGATAAACGTTTTCGAAACCTAACATTTCAGAAATACAATCGGTTGAACTGCTGCATTGAGTTTGCTTCCACTATATGCTCTGGCAAACGGTTCTAGACATTTAATACCCGCCATTCAAAGCACAGGGGAAGTGGCACTCGCTTCATATATATAACCGCAAGGTTTTATTGTTGTCTGTGTGCGCTGCCAGGTGTTTGAAAGTGGAACAGTGGCCTCGGCATGTGGAAGTCACCTAGATATAGAATGCGGTAGCTCATGATGTGGTCGACTTGTAACCGATGATAGACCAGAGTGTTTAGTACCAGCCTCTCGCACCTATCCCAGTGCAGCAAGCCCCCCCCCCCAACCTAGGGAGAAATCTGGTAGCAACGTGTTAAGCCTGTGCAGTTTTCTGCTCCTCGTCTCGATTAGTCAGACAATAAGCTGGCGAACCGTACTCTATCGTGGATCTGTTGATGGAGGAGAAGAGACGGATGGAAACCCCATCAGATTAGATGCGGAAGCTGCGTTTGAGTGCTCAGATCAGTCGTTTCGGTATAGCCTGTTCATACGCATTTCGGATGGTTTTAAGTCATCACAGGGGCCCAACACTCCCGTTGGCAAGGAGGTTATTTAGTGGTGAGTAACATAGACACGCCCCGGAGTTTTCATGCGAGTTACAAGGCTTTTACAGTAAAAGGACTTCCCAGACGAAACCCATCGCGCCACCCAAGATGGCTGCTAGATTATCCAAGACTGCTTACCTGTCTCAGTGAGAACTTATGAGAGTTATCCGCATTTGCATTCACACGGAAAGCATTTTCAACTCAGCAATCCGTGAACGCGTCAGGTAGTCTACAGTTCAGTTATAGATGAATAGCCGCTCCTGAGTAAAGCAAGCAGCGGTTGCAGCCACTTGGTACAGGTAAGGGGGAAGTTTCGCCTTCTTGGTGAACTGGATGACCGTTTAGTCAGCACAGCATAATCGGTTCTACTGCATATGGTAGGATATAATTTCAAAACTTAGTGCAGTAAATTCTCTACGGAAAACAACTACATTGTGCCTGCGCAAATATCATTTTGCTTGGTATACTGTCTGGTCGAGAAAGTTACTAAGTTCCCATATCAAACATCTTCCTGAGTGCTGCGTCACTTTCGCTGAAGTCGCCAGCAACAGTGCAGATAAAACATGCTAATTTAAAAGTGATGTCTAGTAAACTTAAATGCAAACTCCGACGCGGTGAGGTCAAATCTGTATGGACATTTCCAACGAAGGGAGATTGAATGACATTTAGAAATATTGGCCACGATTCAACTAAATCTCAGTTTATAGAGATCTCTGTGTATGTCAACAGCATGGTTGCTAAATTGTGCCTTCTTCGGTAAACGAGAATGAGGACGCATCACCAGGAAACAGCCACAGATAGCATATGACGAACTTGTGATTTTCACCTTTCGCAAACAGCAACTTTTTGTTTGTACCGCATTTTAACATGCCGAGTGCAGAGTTGAGAGCGGTGCGTTTGCGTGTTTTGCGTTTGTTCGTCAGATTACCTCATTGCACACATCACTAACTTCCTACTCTCCTATTTTTCTACCTTGCCTACGTTAAAACAGAGTGTCTCACAACTCACGGACCACGGAACATATTTGACCTGCGTCGCAATGGGGTCAGTTTCCCTCAACGTCCGGAATTTTTTGTACTCATTTGTTCCAGTCTGCCACTCATCTTCACCGTCCTCACTCGCCCGTTGTTCACGCCACTGTCACTGAGGCATGACATATTTATCAGAGGTTGGGGTCTGGCACAGACCAGATTCTTTTTCGACTTGTTCACACGCACCGCATCCATCTACCATTTGGTCTACTGGGTGTACAGAACACCAATCATACACTTACTATGGCGTATTCGAATATACACGGAACATATGTGGACCAAGTGGAAGAATCGTCCCAAACCAATTCGGCAAAAGAAGGAGTTGATTGCTCGTGCCTCCCTGACCACACTTAACAGAACAAAACCACCTGCACGTCGGCCTGGTAGGACAACGGATTACGGATATGGAAAACGTCGCCGTCGTTCCAAATCGATCCGTAGCGATCGATCAAATGGAAAGTCCTTTACAAGCGCTCATCATTCGCCATCGGACCCACTACACACCCAACCACCACAATCATCCGACGCCTCTGGCACCCACTCGACCTCACAACGCGCGCCTGTAATTAGTGCGGCGGCGGTGAATTTGATATCCCCACAACCGTTGTTGTCCAGCTATATGTTGGGGGATAGCATGGGGCCTAGCTTGGGAACCGCATATTCACCCTTCCCACAAGGCGCAATGAACCACTCGAGCGGACTCAACATGTACAATCCGTCCCAGGTCATGCTCCCCCAAGGTGGTGGATACGGTAGTATGTACGGAATGCCCATGGGAATGGGAGTGGGCCAACCTGGCTTCATGCCACAGAGCTATCCAACACAAGGTTCTTCGTTTGCACCCGGCCCAATTCCGAACACTGAAAACCAAGGTACAGTGGGGACTGCAAGTAGCACCTTGGTGGATTCAGCACCCGATCCTGACAAATCAACAAAGGTCAAGGCTACCGTAAAACCAGCTCTTGTAATACCGCCTCCAACACGTGCATTCTGTTACCTGTGCAAACGCATTATACCGGGCAGCATATATATCACCTCATTCGTAATCACCATACCCTCTGTTCTGGCATTTGAGGTAGACACAACTGAGACAGCCTTCGTGGTGGCCCGATGCACACACATGTGTCGATCTTATTTCTATTACGACCTAGTGGCTCTGGTAACCGTTCCAACAATCATGATCATAGTAGCATTTTATCACGGTGCCCTTGCAAAAAAACAGCTGAATGGGGGAACAAAAATGACCTATCGTCTGCGCTGCTATTACGTGACATTCATACTCCTCAATATCCCAATGTTCGTGCTAATGCTCACTTCCATTGGATTTCGCTTGAGTGCGAGACCGTACAGAGATATCTATGGAACCGGAATTCTCATCGCGATGACGGCTTATCATGCGAATTTTGCACTGAAGCCTGCAATTTACACAACTGGATGCAATTGCATTTGCTGCACCGACGCCTGTTTCCGCCGATTCCCAGTCATTGATAAATTTGTTACCTTCTTCACAACACCCGTATACATGAAGGACAGAGAGGCGGGTTTGGATAGTAATTCACTTGCAGTCTATCCAGAGAAAGCTGCTGACAAGTCGATAGGATAACCTTGATGGATTCCGGGAAGAGTTTATTCTGTCGGAGCGATAACATGTGTCGCAGCATCTTGCCATTTCGCTAGGGCGTTCAGATGTAAGAAATTTCGGAATCTCTCTTCCGTCCTTGTCTCTATCTCTAGCCTGAATTACACTCACCAACATATTCTGTATGCTAGTATAGCCGGAAACATTAACTCTAGATTGAGAATGATCTTGATTTTATCGAAGCATTGCTTTATGGGCGAGTGCGACAAATATTGTCCTGTTGCGTTTTATGCTGCGGTCATTTGAGTTCAGTCCGAATTGTTGAGATCATAATTGTTAGCATTTTTCAAATATGTTGTTCAACAGACTCTGGTTGGTTTATCACCCGGCCGTTTGTTTAGTAACCAACAAATATATGAATACATCGCCCTCATTTTTTCGTTAAGGATCTGGACTTCATGTGCATCCTCATCTGAACATGTTGCCTCAGTCTTCTTCAGACGAGTCAATTGGGAACCATGAGGATTGGTCCTTTTTAAGGTGTTACATTTCCGCTCCAAGCATCCTACAAGGAAATTCACATAATTTCTTTAATTCACCACACACTTAACTTTTGCAATTGGTTGGTAAGCCATAGAGGTATGTTTACCCTTATGAGGTTGCTCACTTCCGAGTAACCCTAAAAGGCGCGATAAGGTTAGCGGAAGACAGATACTCTGAACTAAGCAACAATTAATATTGTAGCGAGAACGAAGCGGGAGGGTGACAGAACGTGTATTGCCACAACAACGTTCATCGGACAACTCACAAACCCGTACAGATGTGGACCGGGTTTCCTTCCCACGGCGCAACGCGGATGAGGATTTGTGTGACGGGCCATTCCAGGAGCCTACGAGGTTGAACTTTGAAACAACCCCTCTATTTTTCAATCCTGTATACGTTTCGCTCCATCCGATTCTGGCCTGCCAGGAGTCGTCCGAAAGCTCGCGACTTGCTCACCCGTGGCAGCATCATCCGGCCCGCGTTCAGCCTGTTGGCTTCGCTAGCGGTGTATTTGTTTGATTCATTGCCTTCTCGACAAACTCCTCCGCCGTTGTTTTGGGCCTAGGCTCGTTACCACATGCCGCTCGTGATCCGTTATCGGTTAGATCCGCGAGGCCCGCAGAGCCTTGTCACGTCCATTGCGCCCGTCGGTGCTTCTCTGCTATCCCGTTGTTGTTCCTTTATTCGAATTCAAGAGTACTCGTTGGCTGCTACCGCTCTACATCAGCCTATTATCGAAGTTGTTTTCCCTTTTCGTAGCAAGGTAGTAAAAGGGCGGCCTTCACTGAGCGCTTCGTTCCTCCATTATTGATTTGGAAGTTGGCTCCTTTCCGATCGAGTATGATGTAGGGACCTTTCCAGCTTTCACTGACCATCGCAATGGGGCTGGACCTTACCGTGATGTGATAATTTGCGTGTCTTAGTGATCCATTGAGCTATGCTTGGTGGTGCTTTTTTGCACCTTCAGAGCAACTCACACCAGATTGGTCAATGGTTAGAGGTCAGACCAACTCAGTCGCCTGACTCTGCAAGTTGGGATTGGAATGAGGTGGCTCCTTATTCCGTAATACGGACTCCTTGTAGTCCAATGCCAAACCCGATGCCTTGCCATCAGGTTTTTGAACCAAAGGCTTTGGTTGAGAACCCTAATCGTTCGCCTGCCTAGACCTGGGCAACCTGACAGTATCCTGCTTCCGCAATACTGTGATTCTTTCCTCAGACCATTTCCTGATGTGCCGGCCACCGCAAAGGATAATCAACGGTGTCCTATCTGCTGCATCGAGCATGGTGGATAGGGGTTTGGATGCTATTGCTCATGACATCCAGTTTCGTACTCACCTTCTTAGGCTTTTTCACCCTCATCGCTCCCTTCCAACTTCACTTTTATCCCCCCGTTTTCAACCCCCAATTCTTGGTCCTCCCCCACCTAGTTTTTATAGGCGGTTAGTTTCTAGTTTCAAATCACGTGCAAACGCGAAGCGTCACTCTTGCCTTATCGGCAAGCCCATGTCTAACTAATCGGTCAAGCCCAGTTCATTGGCTTACATTTGGAACCGTCGATCATCCTTCAGATTGGCATGCCTCAATGTACACACATTATTACAGATCGGTCAGCAGGCAGCACTTGCCCGAACATTAGAGACCATCTCCATCGTTATCTGTTGCCCAGTAGAAACCCGCCTACAAGACCCGAGCTCCGTTCTCGCTCTGTGACCCCCTTCAAGTGACACTAGCAGTACTTTCTCACTGCGCCTATCCGGAGACGATGCAGCTGCTAGTAGCCGCCAAGACGATGTTGGTATTGCCCCGCGTCCGCGGGCTGAAGCTGCTGTGGTTGTTGAAATCCCAATCAGTAGCCGGAGGTGTGCTGTCCGACTGGCTGGATTGTTCAAACCTTCGAAGTCGCGCGAGGCTAAGATGTGTCTGGTTGTCATCTTTGCCTACGCTCACACAAACTGTAGCCAAGCCTCGGTAAAAGAAAAGTTCTAGCGTCAGCTGAACGAGCTCCTTCGCCACAGAAGTAGTACGGACCCGGCTGTGCTTGTTGGGGATCTGAATGCTCAAGAGCAATTATCCACTAATGAGCTGCATCTCGGCGGACAACATGGTGTAGGCTCCCTTAATGACAACGGTGAGCGGTTACTTCATTTGTGCGAAGATGCTCACTTATTTCTTGCGAGCATTAACCCGACACAGAACCCATCGAAAGGTGACATGACGCCCATCAGCCTCGAACCAGCTATGGACTTAAATCTATCACATTGCGAACAGTTATCACTGGAGAGGTTGTGTCCAAAATTGTAGCTCCATTTGGAGCACATGTGTGGACACTGACCATACACTTGTATGTGTTGATCTGCAGATGTGTTTTGTCGGTCGCTGTCGACGATGTTGTGACCCGCATAGACACCAGCAAACTGGCTAAGTTGGGTGTACTGTATGCGTATCGAAGTACGCTGGTGTTCGGGTTGAGCAAGTGCTCACTGAATACAGTTGCAGGTCACTGGTCACATTTTCAACAGACCTTATTAGAAGCAGGTAAATCAGCATGTGGTAAATCCACTAGCCAAAATAGACATTGGGTCTCTTAGCAGTCTCTAGAACTTATCGATGCTCGCCGGCATATTCCAGCTGGAAAGGAACACAAAGAGACTCGCAAAGACATCAGGGCGAAACTCCACGCTAGCCTGAAGAGAGACAGCGAATCCCAGTGGTCCCTTCGTACGTCAGAGATGGAAGCGGCAGCTGTTCTTGGTAACCATCGGAAGTTATTCCATCTGAAACAGGAAACGGGTATCAGGAGAACTGGTGTTAGTGAAACTATAGGTGACGAAGGTGGACAGCCTATCCACTACTTGTCAAAACGTTTAGAGCGTTGGGTCGAGCATTTTGCAAAGCAGTTTAATCGGCCGGAGTTGTCAAATCCATCACCGGCCAGTGATCGTCCTGCTCTCTAGGCTGTACCTTTGGATCCGCCATCTCGTTCAGATGTCGAACGTGAGAGCGGACTGTTGGTTGAATAAAGCCGCGAGACCAGATGATCTTCATCCGGTCCACGTCAAATGCGGGGGCCCTGTTCTTGTTGACGATTCACACGAATTACTTGTGAAACTGTGGGAACAAGAAACTGTTACGACCGATTGGAGACGCTCCGTTATTGTCACGATCTTCATCGGAGGCTCGCGTTCGGAATGTGGCAGCCATAGAGGAATTAGTCTAATCAACATTGCCTCCAAATTACTTGCCTCTGTCATCCTTCACAGACTGACTGGCACTAGTGAAAGCCAGATTCGTGAGAAGCAAGCCGGGTTTCGTTGTGATCGCGGCTGTATCGACCACTTATTCATATGACGTCAGTTGTTGGAGTACCGTCACATTTATTGGCGGCCCAGCGTTGTCGTGTTCCTCGGCATCAATGGTGCCTACGATTCAGTGGATCGAGGTGTCCTTTGAGACTATCTGCTAAGGAAAGGCGTGCTCGAGAAATATGCAAATATTATGCGAGCGACTTACGTTTTTAGCGCGGGCAGAGTGAAGATATACGGCAAGCTGTCGTCGCCCTTTAATATCTCCAGCAGTGTGAGACAAGGATGCCCGCTGTCACCTTTCTTCTTCAACTTCACTATTGACGAAGTCATGGAAATCACATTCACTGGACACGACTTAGAAAGTGTGGAGCTGCTTTCAGGTGAACGACTTCTTGACTTGTAATATGCTGGCTACATTACCCTCATCTGTGACAGCACCCAAAGGTGCCAAGCGGCACTGGACAGAGTAACACTGGCTGTTAACCGTTACGGCCTATGCTATGCACCTTCGAAGTGCAAAGCTTGCCACCAAAATTGTCAAGTGCCGCCTCATGCGCTGATTCTTGGTGGCGAGCTGCTAGAAGTCGTTCAAAGTTGTATCAGCGCCGTTGGTATTAAAGACGAATTCATAAACCGTATAGCAAAAGCTCGAGGCGCTTTTGCTGCCCTTGGCCACCTGTGGCACTGGCGCGACATCATTCTCGCTTTGAAGGGTAGAGTGTACAATGCAGCCGGATGTTCTACTCTACTGTACGGTTGTGAAACCTGGCCCGTTAGATCAGCCGACATAAATATTCGAGTTACGTTTGACCACTGGTGCCTTCGCAGTTTGACCCGTATCTGTTGGGAATGCCGTCTGAGAAATGAGTGTGTTCGAGGCCTTGTTTATAGCGCAGGAAGAAGAAGCAAGCCGCTCAACACGGTCCTTTCAAGCACCAGGCCTCGATGGCTGGGCCACGTGTTAAGTATGCCAGCCCACCGACTCCCGAGAAGTGCGTTGTTTGCGCATTTAGGATGCGGATGGAAAAATGAGAAGTGGCCAAATAATGACTTGGTCAAGAGGAATGAATGCCCGCACTTCGAAATTGGCCTGGGTTGGATCCCCTCGGCCCCTGGTTTGGGACCGAAGGACGCTAAAAACGTTTGACTGGATGCCCTTGTTTACATGGCAAGAAGCCGACCTCAATGGCGTTTGTGTTGTGAGTTTCGTTGTCCCTCTCTCTCACGCTTAGCCTCCCCCTCCAACCATGATCTTCAGTACTAGACATAAGGACTTTGTTCGGCAAAATAGCCGGCTACTAGCACTCCGGTACTGGTGACTCAGCCGGCATGCCACTGTTGCATCCCTTTTTTTCTTTTCTAGTGTATTGCGGTACAATAGCCGAGGTGTTCTGCACCCGCAGCTAACGGGTACAATGATGAATGACGAGCGTTCCTTGAACTTTCTCGCACCTGGCCCTTCATTAGCTGACCGATGGTTGTTCCGTACTTTGACTTGTTCTCCAATCCTGAACGACGTCCACTCGTGAGCCTCATGCCTGGCGTCTTAACTCCGCTAATGGCGTGCTTGTCGAGCTTTGG